GTAGTGTAACAAGGGCATGCTTGGCCTCTAGGGATAGATTTTTCCCTACTTGTGCTCATTATCTTAGGGTTGGCTTAAGGTTCCCTCTACCAAAATTATTAGTGAACTTGTTGAAAAGTTACAACGTTGGGTTCACATGGTTTACACTGAACATCATTTGGTCAATCTTGCGCTTTGTCGTTTATTGCCGAACAAAGGGTGTCGTCCCTACTATTACTCTGTTCAAGAGCTTTTTTAGTCTTAATGAGGTGAGGGGTGATGGGGGACAACCCTATGTTACTCCTAGGGACAACAAAATGCTATTCGGTAATCTTTCCATGTTAGTCAAGTTGTAATAACCTGCATATTTTTCTTGATTTTTGGGAATCAAAATAATTAAATATACATAGCCTAATTAATGGTTAGGATTAATTGTCAATTATGGGGATTTATGATCTTAAATTTTTATATTAAATTAAGGATTTAATTTAAAGATTTAATTTGGGATTAATGCCTTTAAATTTAAGAATTTTTATTTCCTCAAATAAAATTTAGATGAGAAGTCTACTGCTCAACCCTATTCCTTTCTCAAAATAAATTTGCTTTTACGTAGTAAACACATTCTCCCAAATCCAATCGTTTTCTTCTCCTATAGTTCAATCGTAAGTTTTTAATGGGGAATATATTTGTTTCTCTTGATTTCTTGTTCTTTTTCATTTCCTCGGATCTTTATTGCTAGGCCCAATATTACAATCTCCATATCTCTTTTTACATTTATTATTAAGGTTTCGTCTCAGATCTAATATCAAAATCTTAAATCCTGATGAGTTTTTATATTTTATCTAAACAATTATTGAATTAGCAGTATACTTTTTTTTAGTTTTTTATCAATTAGCATACTAAATTTATCTATATACATACATATTTAGTCTCTCCATTTTAAAATCTTACACAATTTTTATTCCTTAATTTAAAAGTTTCAAAACTAAAAATATACATATATTAACACACTTAATGAATTAATTAATAAAAAAATTTAAAAATATATTTTTCGTAATTAAAGAACCAAAAAAAATAAAAAATAAAAAAACTAAAATTATACAAAAATTTAAAATTAAAAACCAAAATCCACATTTAATCTAAAATTTTCTTTGGCGTGGATATGAAGCTCAAGTAAGACTTATATTGTTCTCATAGAGAAGAAAAGGAATATCATATTGTTTTATTATAGACCACACAAAGACTTTAAGGTGAGGGGAAATGAAAAGACCAAAAGACCATTTTTGACATAAAAAGGAGAAGTAGAATTTGAGGGGCAAAAAAAGGATTTAAGTTTGAAAAGGAAAAACGAAAGTGCAGGGAAACTTCCTCATTTTTTGTGAGTGATGAGGGGGAACCATTTTTCTCTTATCTCAAGTGGAGAGAGGAGACTTTTTCTTCCACAGGAATGCGACGGTAGACTTATCTTTTGGCGGAACAGCGACGTGGAACGCGATCCGTGGAACGCGATTCTTTTATTCAGGTGAGAACTTCTACTTTTCAGACAAATAATCATTCAATCTTCCCCTCTCCTGACCGAGTGGCATCTCGAAGTGGTCGTTGCTGTAAAATTTCAGACAAATATTTGCACCCTCCTTTCCTATGGCGTCACACAACTAACCTGCTGGGCATCCCACAGCCGCCATATTTTATCAGGTACGCACTCTGTTTCACTGTATTTGACAATTTTAGAAATTCAATGCTCTACCAATTTTTTTTCAGTTACTGTTCAAAAAAAAAAAGCTCTACCAATTTTTTTTTTCTCACTTTTATCCTTCCACTACCCAACAGCATCTACTCCACCAGGCTAAATTTTCTCCTTTAATGGAGAACTTCAAGAACATTTCCTTTTTGTCCATTAAGAATTTAAGAGTTACTAACTTTATGAAAATCCAAACTCATGTCTAATACACACGATTAGGATCAACATAATCAATTTTTGTGATTTAATTACCGTTGAACCATTTAATATAGAATATTTTGGACAAGCACCTACACCTCTGCACCTCTCTCTGTACAACTTTTCACTTGCAGTTAGTGGGTTGAATATTGATTTGAATACTCAGTTTGATTGTCTATTTTTCATCCTCAACATATGGGATTGATTTCGAGTAGGAGATTGAATTCTATTTTATTATAGAAATTTTTTGTTAAAGGTTCACATGCGAAGGTGGAGTGAGATGTGCAGAGATTACATATAGAAAAGAAACAAGTATGGTAGAACATATATGTGAAGACTCATAAATTTGATAAAAAAAAAAGTCTTTTAAATTTAAGATAGTGTCTCCTAGTGTGTCTATATATATATATGTGTGTGTGTGAGTTCTTGCACTCTCGATTTGACCTTTGATATTAGAGGCGATGGTGCCATCCATGATATGGGTTCGGTGTGCGTTTCCAAAGTTCGGAATATATCTGTTGGGACATGTGATCCCTCAGAGAATATTTGTTAGGATATGTGCAAAGATCCCACGTTAAAAAGAAGAGATCACACATTAAAAGGAAACAAAGATTACATATATAGAATATATATGTAGTCATGTAGACACCAAGATGACATCTACTCATATATATGTGTTCACATTGGATGTTTGTGTGCAGAATTCAGAGGGAGAACACCTTTAGAAGATCAGAACTTCTCAGCAATTAGAGAAAGTGGCTTAAAAATGAAATTTTGACCATATCTGACTCTAAATTTAAAGGCAATTAAAAACAAATTTGATGAGCGTAACTTCTCAACAATTAGAGAAAGAGGGGGAAATGAAATTTTGACTATATCTGACTCTAAATTTAAAAGCAATTAGAAACAAATTTGATGAGCGTAACTTCTCAGCAATTAGAGAAAGAGGGTTAAAATGAAATTTTGACCATATCTGACTCTAAATTTAAAAGCAATTGGAGACAAATTTGATGAGGGTTATGTGCGCTGTTTGAGGATAAAAAATTTTTTTTTTAGTAATTATTAAAAATGTATTAATTTATAATTAAAATTAATTTTTAATTAACAAATATAAAAATTGTTTCTAATATATATTAATTTATTATAAATATACATTTAACTTTTATGTCAATTAAAATTTTTTAGATAAACATGATAGAATAATTAATTAAATTTTTATTAATTTCTTTTATCTTTCCATTTATGTATAGTTATTATTATAAAAAAAATTTATATGTGCTTCTTGTTGAATATTTTTATTTGATAAAAAAGTTTCAATTATCATTTATATAATAAATTAAAGTTGCATTTAAAATTCATACTTAAAATATCAAAAAATCAAACTACAACTATTAAAATTGAAGGGAGGGAGTATTATTCTTTCTTCCCTTATCCTTCCACCATATTGTTCTTTTTTAGTTGCTTCTTGTACTTCCATTGATCATTATATGTTTTTGTTTATTCCAATTCTCTCTCTCGCTATGTATATATATATAAACATGTTCTAAGTAAAAATTTAAAAGCACAACTTTTTATTATTATTCCATTGATACTTTTTTACTTATGTAGCATTACTTCACCTCTCATTAATCTTTATTGTGACACCATCTCTAAATTTACCCTCTTACTTTTTTTCACTATATTTATCATTCTAAACAATATCCACCTTCACTCTCCCCTTCTATATTAATTATTTGTTTGTTATTATTCTTTTCTCTTTATCTTCCACTTTCTATTATTCTTCCTTAATCACTCCTTGCACTTTAGCTATCATTATATATATTTTTATCCAATTTTCCTCTTTTTATTTATCATTGAATATTTTTGTTTTCTCATGATTATAATATGTAAGTATCTTAAATCAAAAATAATTTAGCAATATATATAATAAATTTATATACATATCATCGAAGTTAAAAGTTTTAATCAATATAAGGTAAAGAGCTTAGATTATCCCCATTTCTCTTTGTTTCGCCCCCCTTCACCCCCTGGCTCCATCCCTGCTCACAAGATCAACCCAAGGTATCCCAACCTTTAATTTAATTGTCTATACCAATAACACTAAAATTAATATTAACTTTTATATTTTTTAAAAAATTTATAATGAAAAAATATTCAACCTATGCCCTAATAACATAAATTAGAAAAACCCATTAATAATTACATCGTTAAAGCAGAAACATATCAAGTAAACGTAAACCTATTAGCACCTACAATGCAACATTATAGAACAGGACACTGGAACGAGCAGAAAAGGGGCAGAAACCTGATTGAGCAGGTGTAGGGGCGTCTGGCGTTGGGTGGAGGTGAGCTGGCGTGTGGTGAGTCGTCATATGCAGGAAAACAAATCGCCGGTGTCCAGTCAGTGAAAAAGTCAGAGATGCCTGGATTTTAAAAGTCATTTTATGGTCGAAAATCATCTCTTGGTTGTGTTTATCAACATTTCTGACTTAGAAGAATCCGATATCAAAGAAAATTTTAGATCTATAATAGTATCAGGAGGAAAAACAAATGAAGAGCAGAATGGAGAAATTCAAGAGATCAGAGTCAAGAGGAAGAGGAAGAAAAAGAAAATTGGCAAAATCCTATGTTAAGCCCCCAAACTTCTTGCAGATTTTAGATTAAGCCTCTAAACTTTTATTAAAGCAAATAAACCCCTAAACTTTGCAATTTTACAACTTAACCCTCTTTCTTACCATGGATTTAATACTTGTTTGTACTTTACTTATATGAATAAAATTAGTACCCACCACATAGGTAATAATATGTTAATACGTTAGGTAATAATATGTTAATATCTTATCCTTGGTTGTTAATTGAGGATTTGGGGTAAGTTTGGGAGCTTATCATATTATGCAAAGATAAGTATTAAGTTCGCTATAAAGAAGAGGGGTTAAACTGTCTAAATTATCAAGTTCAAAAGTTTATTTACTTCAATAAAAATTTAAGATCTTAATTGAGGATTTGTGGTAAGTTTGGGAGCTTATCATACGAGAAAATATGTAAATAAAGATATTAATTTTACATTTTTTTTTATTTAAAGATGTTAACTTTATTAATGTTGGTTTTTTCACAAAATGGAGAGAAAATCAAGAGGAAAATGAAAGCCAGAACCCAACCAAAAATGGAGAGAAGTATAGCACTTCAACTTGGAAATATCATTGATATTATGCTATATTTATACAAGAAACAACACAATAAACAATAATTTTTTCTCACCTAATATTCTACCCGATACAAGAAAATCTATCAAGTATTTAAAACAAGATTACATGCAAAAGATTTGCTGCCATTTTGTGTGGCTCCATGTTGCTGTAACTCTGCAACCCCTTTTGCGGCCTTTCATTTACATTTACATTTCATTTGCATTTCATTTCAGCCTCATTTCATCAACATTTGCAGCTTACTTTGCTGCACTTTGCTGCTATGGTGCTGTTGGTGCAACTCTCCCTTCTTCATTTTCATTTGCTGCTACTTTGGTAGCTTGAACACCACAACTCCTATGGTTAGTTTCTAATTAAGGTTGTTAACTTTCAATTTTTTCTATTTAAATATATCAATTTTAAACTTTTTTTATTTAAAGATTAATTGGATAATGATATTAATGTGACAAATGAATTTATTAATCGAAATGTTGAAAGTTAGCATTTCTTAAATAAGAAAAACTGAAAGTTAATATTCTTAAATAAAAAATATTGAAATTTGGTATCCTTATTTAGAAATTAATAAAGTTAACATCTTTAAATAAAAAATATTGTAAAATTAATATTCTTTTTGGCACCTTTACTCCTTATCATAGGGTTTTGCCAGGAAAATTTACGTATGGGTTCTGTATTTGTTATCGGTACGTTGGAAGGATAATTTTGAAAAATCAAATTACTAATGTTGTGTAGAATTCTTAAAATGTTTGCTAACTAGAAACAAATTTGATGAGCGCTATGTGCTCTGTTTGGGCATACAAAATTTTTTTTAAGTAATTATTCAATATGATATTAATTTATAAATAAAACTTAATTTTTAATTATCAAATATAAAAGTTATTTTAAAAATATATTAATTTATTGTAAATATATATTTAACTTTTATATCAATTAAATTTTTTTTATATAAACATAATAGAGTAATTAATTAAATCTTTATTAATTTTTTTATCTTTGTATTTATGTATAGTTATTACTATAAAAAAAATTTCTATGTAATTCTTATTAATTATTTTTATTTAATAAAAAGTTTAAATTATTATTTATATAATATATTAAATTTTCATCTAAATTTTATATTCAAAAAGTAAAAAAAATCAAATTAAAACTATTAAAATTGAAGGGAGGGAGTATTATTCTTTCTTCACTTAACCTTCTACTATATTTTTCTTTTTGAGTCACTACTTACACCTCCATTGATCATTATATATTTTTATTTATTCTAGTTTTCTCTCTTTATATATATGCATATATATATATATATATTAAACATGTTTTAAGTTAAAATTTAAAGGCACAACTTTTTACTATTATTCCATTGATACTTTTTTAGTTGCGTAACATTACTTCAACTCTCATTAATTTTTATTGTTTTTTGGTTTCCCGTCCGGTATCCGGGTTTCGCCCCGACTAATCCGGATCGACCCGCGTCGCGCACCTGGAAATGATGGGTGAGTCTCCCAACGGAGGCTGCTGCATTCATAAGGTCTCGAACTTGAGACATTATTTAAGCTGGAACAAGCCGATATTGGTAAATTTGATTATCTTTAAGACATTATCAAGTGGTAAATTTGATTACCACTTGAGACACTATCTTTAAATTTACCCTTTTACGTTTCTCATTATATTTATCATTCTAACCAATATCGGCCTTCACTCTTCCTTTCTATATTAATCATTTGTTTATTATTATTCTTTCTTTATCCACCACTTTCTATTATTCTTCCTTAATTACTCTTAGCACTTTATGTATCATTATATATTTTTTCATCCAATTTTCCTCATTTTTTTATCATTGGATTTTTGCTTTCTCATGATCATAATAACATGTAAGTATCTTAAATAAAATAATTTAGCAATATTTGTAATAAATATGTACGCATATCATCAAAGTTAAAAGTTTTAATCAATATAGGGTAAAGAGCTTAAATTATCTCCATTTCTCTTTATATTAGTAATTTGTTCGTTATTTTTTTTCTCCCGTTATTCTTTTATCTCTATCATTCTTTTAAATCTTTATCTATCAAAATATATCTCTTATTTACATTATTTTTTTCATCTTGGTACTTTTTCAAACATCCATGCTTTACATTTTATTAATTTTTCTTAAAACTCTATCTCTTAACTTATTCCCTCACATTTTATCATTATATTTATTTATTTACATTACATTTTTTTTTGAATAATTTGAAATTATTTATAGGGTTAATTGGGGGAGGAGGGAAAGGAATTTCGTGGGACTCAAACTAACAACCCACTAGAGGTAAACAACCCTAACTCAGGTCCAATACCACTGAATCGGAGCGGGCCATTCTATTTACATTACATTTATCCTCATTTTCTCTCTATATATTAATAATTTGTTTGTTATTAATTTTTCTCCTCATATCAAAATTAATATTTTTCTCCTCTTATCCTTATATCCTAAATATTATTCTTTATTAGTCACCCCTTACAACTCTATTTATTATATAACATATTTCTACCTAATTTCTCTCTCTCTCTCTCTCTCTCTCTCTCTCTTCCCTTTTTTGTGCGTAGACTAAAATTGCTTAACCATTTTTCTTAATGAATATATTAAAAGTCTATAAGAGCTTTTACTTTACTTTTTTTCATAATTTTTTTATAGTTTAATCTTTTAATAAAGTGAATTTCAAAACATTTTTAAATTTTTCCCAGAGAATCTTTTTTTATTTTTAAGTTTCTTATAGGTACTCTTACTTCACACATTTATGTTTAGGTGGTTTCTGATCCTTTAAGTAGATATATCGTCATGATCAAGTTTATATCAACTTGATATACATTTGTTACATTTATTATAATTTGTAGTTATTCACAATTCTTGTTATTTTAACAACATATTAAGTCCTGAATATCATATTGAGATGGAAGTATAAATGTGAGTGATATATAAATATGAAAACAACCAATATTAATAATTTAAATTTAAGTTTTTAAGGATTCGTAAGTTAAAAATGTGCATATATGAACAAATTCTGTCATACTTTATTTCCTGTCTCGAATATGGATTTCGGATCTGATCATCAGCTGTAACAAGCAGTGCCTTGTGGAGAAGGATCTCTCTCTTCCCCCCAAAAAAACCAAAGATGCAGCTATGCTCTTCATGAAGGGCTTCCTGGGCAGCGTGGTTGCACAGATCCCTCCTTTCCGGGCGGCCAATACGATGGTTTTTGACCGGTATGACGAAAAACAGAGCTGGTACGGTTTTACACTATTACCGCATTTGTCTAGGTAGGTGATTTATTTAATTTATTATATCTTAGTACTTTAAACTTTATTTTACTTATTTGATCCTCAAATTTTTACTAATATTTTCTTCTTATTCCACCCTTGTGTCAGCCAAGGTTTTTAAAACCGGATTGGTTATTGAACCATTTTTAGATCTGGTTTTTGATTTGATCGGTTAATTGATTCAACCAGTAAATCGGTTGATTCAAATAACAAGGGAAATTTGATGAGAGAGATAAGTAATTTTGTAATTTCATTAAAACTAAGGGTTAAAATCGGTATAAAAAAAGAATGGTGAGGGTGAAATTGGAAAAACTAAAAAGAAAATTGCATGAGAAATTGAACCGGTGGTTTTTTTGGTTCTATCGGTTTTATCGGTTTTATCGGTTTTATTGGTTTTAATCGGTTTTAAACGGTTTTGATCGGTTTTGAATGGTTTTTGACCGGTTTTGACCTTAAATAGTTTTTTTATATGAAACGAGCTGTTTTCATTACTGGGTATCGGTCCAACCGATTCAACCATTTGGTCCGATTCGATTTTAAAAACCTTGGTGTCAGCCTCATTTTGTCGTATTTTGTTATTCAAAATTTATATATTTTGTAATTTAATAATCCTGACCAATCAAAAAACACTACATTTTTTTTTTGAACAATTTATAATTATTTGCGGGTTAATTAGAAAAAGGAAAAAGGTTCTGTGTTTTGATTGGGTAATTTATAAAGTGTTAAAAAAAACAATGTTTTTGAACCCGGTCCGGTGGCTGACCCGTTTTGGCCAGCGGGTCTGGTTCAACTAGTTGAATCGGTTCACCCGATCGGTTCAACCGGTTGACTAAAAGACTTTTTTTTTTTACATTTTTTTTCACATTTTCTGCGGCTTCTGTTCAGTAATGAAGGGGGGCAAAATCAGTTTGGCCTGGTGAAGGAGAGGAAGATGGGTGGCGGAGCTGCCGAGATCTGAGCAAAATCAGGGACGATCTGTTATGCTTTGTTGCTTCTGTTTGGTCCGGTGAAGGAGAGGAAGATCCGGTGAAGGAGAGGAAGATGAGTGGCGGAGCTGTCGAGATATGAGCAAAATCAGGGACGATCTGTTATGCTTTGTTGCTTCTGTTTGGTTCGGTGAAGGAGAGGAAGATGAGTAGCGAGGATGTGAGCTTTATCAGGAGCTGTCAACGGAAGTGGAGCAATGGTGAGCTGTCGACGAAGGTGCAGGGAAATCGGGTTGCTTTGTTGCTTCTGTTCAGCGGTGGAGATGACTAGATGAGGCGGTGACTGGTGGTGAGATCTTGACGGAAGTGGTGCAGAGATCAGGTTGCTTTGTCAGAGGTGATGAGGCGGTGATTGGTGTGGTGAGATGCCGGTGGAGTCATGGCACGGAGATGGAGCAGGGATGAAGGAGAGGGATGGCCGGTGGATGATGTGTTTCTCCAACTTTCTAATTCTATTTTTTCCATGTGTATTTACAAAATGTTACTTTTGATTAGGGTCTTTAGATTTCATTTTAGTTTAAATTTAAGATTTTTTAATATAATATCATTAAAAAAAATTAAAATAAGTAAATTACATAAAAAAAAAGGTTAATAAAGCATCAATGATTTTGCCCGGCGGGTGGGACGGGCTGGGCATTTGGAGCGGGTCCAACGAATCTGACGGGCTAACACGGGCCAATTTGCAAAACGGGCTAGTGCATGAAACCGGCCCCTTTTTATGTCCGGGTCCGGTTCAACCGGTTTAACCGGCCGGGCCGGGCCGGGTTTTAAAACCATGCTTTTATGTTTTATTTTTTTTAATTTTTTTGGATAATTTTTAATGGAATGAAAATTTTTTCTCAAATGTTTGACAATCAGTTCCAATAAATATATATTTTGTTTCTGTTAGTGAATTAATAATAAATTCCATTATAACATGTGAGAAATCATCAACTACCCACAAGTAAAATAACTTTTTATTTATGAGAATATATGTGCTTACTTTGACGTGATTGTTGTGGTGATA